TAAACTTTAGCGACACAAGTCCTTTCTTAAATAAAACTGGTTCTTCAGAAAGAATTTTTACGAAAAATTAACTAACGACCAGAGACGTAACAATATATTTAGATTGCCGAAGTTCCTACATTGGAGAAACAGGTAGTAAAATAATGACCAGATGCAAAGAACATGAAAAACAAAAATGTGAAACATAAGTGAAAATATGATTCAAAAATAACACAAGATATATTTTCAAATTGTTAAGAACCCAAACATGAGAAAAAATTGGAAACATTGTGAATCACAGAACTAAAACCTAACATAAAAAAAAATCAGCAGCATTATTTGTATTAAAAACCAAATAAACAATATTTGACTGAATGTATTTGTAATTTTAATGCATCTATTTGTTTGTATGTTGTTAAGCACAAAGCAACACAAAGGTTATCTATGCTGTGCTTACCACAAGTATCGAAACACGCATTTTAGCATTATAAGCAATCAGACTTGCCGCTGGACTACTAGGGGCCTGAATGTATTTGTATTGTAATTCGAATGTTTTACGAATCGTGTCATAGTTACTATGTTAGCTACGAAACGTTGTTCAGGAATAAATGATAAATCTATTACTATTACCTCACAAGTATCTGTTTCAAATCCATATATTTGTTCGACAATTAAGTGGATACCTCTTTTTTTAAATAAAAAAAGGTACAGTTTCATATTATTGAAAATAAGTCTTGAATTTTATACGAGAAGCCCTCGTTCATCACTGCAATACCAGCTTAATTTTAACAAGAAAATATCTGAATTTGATCTACTTTTCACTTTTCTGAGTTTCTCACATGTCACAAGCGAAGTGTAACAGCTTTTTTTTATTACCTTACTTACATAATTTATATGCATGAGCCTGGGCAAGTTTTGTAAAATAAAATAGTCTAACACTCTTACTCATAAGCATTACATACATTAAAAAGTCAATCTTAGAAAAACCAGTCTACGATATTATCAACTAAACAAACCTTTCAAGCCTTGTTCCATTAGAATCGTAAAGTTGATGCGGTAATAAAAATTGAACGACCAAAAATTTAATATTGCGTTGTGGCACAACGGCGTAGCATTAGTACACGTACACGAGGTAACACTAAACGACTTCCTGTTGAATTTTCAATTAATCATAGTAAAGATGTATAATGTCATAACGATAGGGTTTTTCGTAATTTAGCAATATCAAATAATCGCAAATGAATGTTGTTGTTTTTTAAAATATTTGTACAAATGACGGAAGAAACCAAATATATTATCAAAACCAAAACCAAAACTCATTTGAAGGTTGATTCTTGCCAGACATTACTCTCGAGTAGTAGCGGTTAGACTAATAAACAACTGGAAGTAACTGATTGAAGAACAGCAGCGTATCAGTGTTTCGCAAAACTTTAGTAACTGCATCATAAGCCATTAATATATTAGTATTATCTCACTTCATTTTTGTTGGTAGATTCGTATATGTAATTATGTGGTTCAGGTATGGAACTATGACACGTTCGTGATTGGCATTACCTGCGCTATATTAGTGTTCATCATGCATTCAGAGCGCTTATAGATTTTCACATAAAGAGAAATATTTTACTTCGTGCTTTGGTTACACATGGTCAAGAAGTACGCTCTATTTTAATATTTTTGGGCTTTCTCACAGAAGATAGTGTTGAAGACCAAATTTAGATCTTGTATGTTCTGTTTCTGACGATATCATTGTTTCCAAAGTCAGAAATGTCAATAATATATGTCTTATTTACCTTTGCTAGAGACAACTAATAAGATGATAGTGCCTGCACACTGAGAGGGTTGACGTTATTGTTTTCGTGTGTATTGTTACGACAGCGGAGGTCACGTGACACTGGTAACACGTAATGAGTATCTAGAAAGATCGAGGAACTTGTCGAACGTCCTAGCGGTTGCTAGAATGGCGCTCTTATAGTATATAAGCCGACAAATAAAGTTACGGCAACAGTTGAATAGCAGACAGAGAAACTGAAGATATAGACGGACAATTGAGTCAAGCGCGGTAGTAAGAAAAGTGCGTGAATCGTTCGTTGAGAATTATAGCGTGTGTTTAAGTTAAAAGAACTGTGGAAATTAAGTGTATTGCAAAGTTATATTGAGAAAGAATAAACTAGTTTTATTTGAGAAAGGACTTGTATTGCTGAAGTTTTTCGAAAATAATTTCTACGGAAAATTAACAAACGAACAGAGACGAAACAGAATATAAGCCTGGCAAAGAAAGCCAGCGAATAATAAGGAATGAAGAGAGAGCAGTAGTCACTTTGAGTTCCGTGTAATTTATGATTGTGTTAGTTTCGAGCTAATGAGCCATAAAGTGTGTATTTTGTACTCGTCGAGAGCGAAGTTATTGAGATTGTGAATCGCTATGATTTATAGCATGTATTATAAAAGTTGTTAAGTTTAAAGTGACGAGAAACGTACTGATCGTGGAACTCCTGTATACTAAAAGTTTGTATCGAGGAAGAAAGTTTGTATTGGTTTAATCAAGAAAGGACTGAAGATCCTCGGAAAGAATTTCTACCGGAAACAAACAAACAAGTCAGAGAGTGGGACGAAAAAAAAAAGAGATAAATGAGAAGTGGCAAATCAAACTACGACTTAGCATATTTGATAACAGCAAAACAAGAACAACAAAAGAAACAAGAAGAACGAGAAAATAAACAAGAAAAAATACTACAGCAGTGGTTGGAGGAGAAAGAAAATAAACAAGAAAAGAGACTACAGCAGTGGTTGGAGGAGAAAGAAAAGAAACAAGAAGAGAGACTACAGAAGTGGTTGGAGATAAAAGTAAAAATAAACAAGAAGAAAGACTACAGCAGTGGTTGGAGGAGAAAGAATATAAACGAGAAGAGATACTACAGCATTGGCAAGAAAACCAGCTCTAGTGGCAACAGAAAACAGGAAGAAAGTCTCCAACAACTACAGGAAAGTCAGCAACAGTGGCAAGAAG